GAGAAAGGGTGGTTGTTTCATAATTAATAAATAGGTAACTTCTTCAAATCAAAGAACTAATTGGGAAATGTTAGTTGTGAACCGTCCCCAATTTTATATTAACTGTCGCAAGGGTTTGAAAATACTTTTTCTTAATAAATAAATGAATAATCTAGAATATAATTACTAATAGATCTTAAGAAGTTCTCCTCACGCAAAGATATGAAAGTTCATTATCATTTTTATTTTTATTTTATTTAAACCTAAAACAATTGCTAAAAAAAAATATTACAATATAAAACTGGATTTGGAAAGTCAATCTCACAAAAATTTTCCATTCATTTTTCTTTTGTTATGTACACAAAATATTATACATAAAATTGAGTACTGAGTAGCTTATGAAGTGGTTTTGATTAATAAATGAATAAATTAGAAATACAAGAATAAGAATTTTAAAATAAAAGGTAAAAGTTTATCTAATTTTGGTATTTTTCTCGTAAACTAAAAAGAAATACGAAGTAAATTATCTATTATTCTGTATTTCCCTTTTCATCAATTCTTGCAAAAAATCATTCCAAGAATCAATTGGTCCAGGCAAACACCAATGTACACAATCGCTAATCAATGTCACATTTGGCACAGGCCAATGTCCATATTTACTTGGGTGTCCATCTGGTCTCAATAACATGGGCTTTGTCGCATCGAACAACCTAATTTTCAACCCATTTCTTCTCCCTGCTTTCTGTGCAATCCTTAATTCCTCCAATTGAATCATATACATTTCCAAACTATAATCCTCTAAAACTGTCTCATTCCTTTTGAATGGCCTTGTCCTAGCACAATCTCCGCCTTTATCCCATGGCCCGCCTTCAAAGTGTGACGGTGCAAACGTTCTTAGGAACGTTACACCCTTGGGATTATTCGCGTCGTTTATTGCCTGAAACGCCGTTCGGAATGCCTGTCGATAGCTGAAGTATGAAGTCAGGTGGCTGACGTTGTCCTCAGGACAATAGAGGCAGCCAACGAGGCGGCGGTTGAGGTAGAAGTAGGTAGGACGGAAGAACCAGTGCCCGGCAGAGATTATTACGTAATCGAAACCTTGGATTTTGCTAGTCCATTGTTCATCAAACTCGTCAAGAAATAGCTTGAAAGGGCGTGTAACATCATTGGGATTGGTTTTCTCTGTTTTTACCAAGTAAGGTGACCAGAACATGGACATATTGAAGTTGTAGTCAATGTACTCGTACCGCTTGTTTTGATCGGTCGCATCCGACAGGTCTACAGGGTACACAACCTGAAAAAGGACTCAAAATTTTAATTTACAATTACAATCAATAAAAAAAATTAAAAATTAAGAAAGGTTGGTCAAAATTATGTGCCTCATAGC